GGAACAACTAAGTAGTTATCATCATATCAAAGCTGCTCATTTCCAGCTGTCAGATGATATTTTGCTTGGTTTATTAAAATTAATGTATGTGTATCTATATTTATATTTATTTATATAAGCACAAACATAGATATATTTAAATGTATGTTCATGTTTATAATACTATTAATAATAGTGTATATATATATATATGCCTATATCCTATTTTTTTATTAGAAAATTAAACAATTGTTTTATTATAACAATTATTTATTGTTTATTATATTAATAGTCGTTGCACCAAGTTCAAACGTACTCCGTCTGCAGCAGTGGTGGACGACGTACACAAATCAAGTACTATAAAATATTACTCCAGTAAAAGTACTCCTTTTTCAATTTTACTCGAGTGAAAGTACAAAAGTACTCGATTTTTTATGACTCGTTTCAATGATTCAGAGTCGACTCTTTCTTTTGAGAGACAATAACTTTATACACGGTGCACTTTCAGATTTAAAACTTTGCAGGATGTTTTCATTCACTTAGAGCTGTGTTACACACTGCATGAAAGGTAATTTTCAAAAATCCATAATAGTTGCACTTTTTATATCACTTTTTCTGTGTGCGTGCTTTGGAAGTGTGTGCACATATGCGAAAAAACTAGATAGTCTATGTATGACCAGACTATTTATTCATATCCAAAACCAGACGATGTGAACATGCAGTGCATGTTTCATTCATACTGGAAGCCGGAGGGCGCTAAAGTTCAAAATGGCCCAGTAGAAGTAATATATAATAACATATGCAGTGCAGGAAATCCCTAATATGGACAAAGGCATCCAGCTATGGCTGTGTCACGTGTATGTTCCTGTTTGCCCTTATTTGGTTCTTCCTGTGTCTTGTCCTCATTGGTTTCATTTGTGTCCAGCTGTGTTTGATTAATTAGTTAATTTGCTCCCAGGTGTGTCCCACTGGTGTCTGTTCATTTAAACCCTGTGTTTCATTTAAACCCTGTTAAATGTCTTCTGTGAGTTCCTGTGTTTTCCCCGTTGCTGATTCCATTAAATTCCATGTTGAAATATTCTCCTGCGTCTCCTTGTTCCCTCCTCCCCGAGTGAACGTGACAGAACAGCAGACCTTAGCTGAAAGTGAGCGGCGCCTCTTCTCCCCGTGTTTATTTTCCGGTTTTTCAAAGTGTTTTTGTTTTCCCCCCGAGATTATGGAGGAACGAGCGATGTTCATCGCCGTGGCTCAGGCGAGCCCCAACCTTGTCAGCTACGCGAGGGCATTCGTGCCGCTCGCCCTCACCAGCTCCCTCGAGGGGGAAACCCTCGTGACGCTGTTCCGGATC